GAGGTATGTTACGCAAACAACTGCGCAAAGACCCATCCYTACTCTACRTGTAAAAACGTKGACGGCAAAGCTAYGTGCGTCTGTCCCACGGTCTGCGCGCAAGTCCGAAAGCCTGTGTGCGGTTCAGATGGCAAACCGTACGCCAAYGAATGTGAAATGAGGGCTGCTTCGTGTAAGAATAGGAAAATGATAACTAAGAAAAAAGACGGACCGTGTGGTAAGTTTCTACTTTATTGCAWTTTTGTGTGCCTAGCGCTTCGTAAKAGGTTTAAAGCCAASATGCTATTACCTTGAAGTGCGTGTATATGTACTCCTTGTTAGTGTTCGATGGATTGGGTGGTCTGTTGAAATATTGCATATAAATAAATAAACAAATAAATRAATAAAAGGAATTTTACGATAATTTGCTTTCATATGTAATTATATGATAAACAGAAYATTACATGGTCGCTTRGAGATACGAATTTTTGAAARTCTACGCTACGCTCACTCGTGAGAGATCTTTTCAAAACTCGAAGATMAAATCCGTATCAGCGCGCGSCCATGTAATATCCTCTATTTATYMGGTAGATATTCACCCYTCGTTCAACCRACCCTCTGCTTATAAGTTCATCTGTTTCTAGATGTATGTGCTGGTTTCAAATGTCCAAACGCTCTAGCCACTTGTAAGGATGTTGGCGGTAAAGCAACCTGYGTATGCTCAATTACCTGCCCTAAAACAAMKTCTCTGGTTTGTGGATCTGACGGAAAAACKTATAACAATCCATGCGAGTTGAGAAAGGCATCGTGTGAACAGAATAAGAGGTTGACTGTCAGAAAGAGAGGAACTTGTGGTAAATATRCAGTGCATAGTAATTTTAGAAAACGTTGATTAAGTTGTTTGTCGCTTTACCTCCGTACGAAGAGGGTTTCACTTCAGATTATACCAGCTCTGACCCTTCGACGGAAAGCTGTTTAGCTAAGAATTATTATTTGTAACACTACTAGAGCGGATTTCGTATGAGTGGGACACCGTTACCGCACGGTTACCGCACAGTTACCGCACCTGGCCTGCAGAATTTTGGTGAAACAATGGGGCACTAGAATTTGGYTACAGTACGATTACGGACACAGTACAGTACCGTCCGTTTCCCACTCATACGAAATCCGCTCTAACTTAGAGTGATCGCACTTAATCTGTGCAACTGTACAAACTAAATAGTGATGTTTAGTTGTATTTAGAAAATCATGGATGCCATACGCAAATTAAATTGAATTGATATAAATGAAGCATTCAATACCGTCTTGCTTCAGGTCCACTTTTAGTACAAATTAGCACTACTTAGATTTTGCACAGTTGCACGGATTAAGTGCGTTCACTCTATATGGAATCCAGTCATAATAGTGCATTTCAATCTTGGAATTAAACTWACAAACTTAATTCACACACTTTAGGTACTAATTTACAAATAAAATATTCAATACTTCAAGTAAATATAAACGGCTTTTTTAATCCACATGTACTTTCGACAACCTTTGCGATCATGAAAGTTGATTTTTTTTTTGTATGTGAGTAAAAACTCGCGCAAAGGCTGTCGGATACACTTGAGCCTTTAATAAATATATTTCTAAAATATGTAGGATACTACGCGCGCTGTGATTGGTCGAAAACCATGTTTGATTACAGTTTCTAAAATATTTAGGATACTACGCGCGCTGTGATTGGTCGAAAACCATGTTTGATTACAGTATCAAAACACGCTCGCGCACGTCAAAAATTTCTTTTTTTCTTTTAATTTTAGAAAAGAAATAAAAGACGAAATTCCGTGTTTGATACTCTGATCAAAACACTTGGGATGTAGGGAGAGCACTCGAAAAGCTGGAAACCACTCCGCTACGCGTCGTGGTTTCCTACGCTTCTCTCGTGCTCTCCCTAYATCCCGCGTGTTTTGATCAGAGTATCAAACACGGAATTTCGTCTTTTATTCCTTAAATAATATTTTTTGGCTTATTATATAATTAATATATAAATTATTATATAATTATCCCAGATTTTAGTATTCAATTTTGACATTGTTTGAAATAGTTGATATACACAGTATTTTAGTTGATATCTCCAATCTTATTATTTCTATTATAGAATGCAAAGTTGGCCTCGATGCAGCCTTCCTCATTGATTCATCTGGTAGTCTCGGCCGAAGGAACTGGAAACGCTTACTCAATTTTGTCAGTGCTTTAATATCAAAGCTCAACGTCGGCCCACAAAAGACCCATRTCGCATCTCTTCGTTATAGTACGCGCATTGAGATAGATCTTCATTTTAATACGTTAAAAGGCAACCAAATCACAGCCGCGGAATATGCAAAGAGAATTAAGGGTTTGCGATGGCAGCGTGGTTATACGTTTATTGATAAGGCCTTGTTGGCGGCTGCACAACAAATGTTTGTACCTAACCGTGGAATGAGAGCCAACGTGAAAAAGGTACATAGAAGAACCTCAAATAATCGTGAATTTTTATTTATGTTATGTTTAAATGATTGCTCATGTACATTTTATTTGATAAGCAGTCACTCTGACTCCCTTTGGGGAACTAGGGCAATTCCCAGGCCCTCTCCGGGCTTTCCTTTTCCGAAATTAACTGATGCTTTAGTATGACTAAAAAAAATTTTTGACATCAGGTTGCGTTCATGATCACCGACGGTAAACAGACCCGAGTCGTTCGAGGACGACCCGTGAAGTACACACGACTGAGGGTGGCCTCGCAACAGTTAAAGAATAAGGGAGTACGAGTGTATTCTATGGGTATCGGAAAACCTGGTAAAGTTATCGATCAAGAACTGAGGGATGTAGCCTCCAAACCACAATATATATACAAGGCAGTTAGTTTTAGAGCTCTCGTACCGAAGATTGATGGTATAATACGAGGTCTATGCGAAGGTTAGTGTGTACTCCGAATGCACTCCGACTTCACTCGGAACGTAGTCGGTTAGCCGAACATTAAACTGATACGCATTTATTTATATTTTTCAGACTAATCTACAACGAAAGTTACGAAACCACAAAAACAGCAATGCAAATTATTGTATCGCAAATATTTCTAAAAAAATAACTAGTTTTTGCTGTGAAGATAATTCGACGCTCAAATATGCTTTAAATAACGCAAAAACAGAATAAAAAGGCTGGAGTTATATTCAAAGCAACAACTGCTGGCCAAGATAAGATTACAAGATGAGAAAGTGGAAAGTGACGGCAGAAAAATGCTATAAATTCGATATATGTCACTTAATCTAATCGCACTATATTGTTATCTATAATGAGATCTATATCATATAACGCAGTTTTCGCAGTCTAGAGCTTATGTAGTTAGTAAATAACTAAGAAATATCGCATATTCTGCTTATTACTAAAATACGTTAATAAACTGCTAGCTTTATAACTGAGTTTCCTTGTTACTGGGGCTTTCAATGAAAGTTCCGTGCCATAGGTTCGGTCTTATTTCCCACTGCATTTTCCCTGTATGCTACATGAATTGGAATATTCTAATATTCGATATTTATAGTAACGAATGAAAACGGGTTACGAATGGGTATTTGATGTCATCCTATTTTCCATAAGAAAGAAACTGGAAAAAAAGCATGACCGCATTGAATGACGGTCAAGGCCCTTTTCCTGACCCCTTCTATAAACAGCGATATGATGTCATAATGAAATATGGAAATTTCTATTTTTGGTTTTTGGTTGTATTTCTTTCCCCATTTTCCCCCCTCTCAAATTATTTTTCTCAGTCTACCTCTTTCATTTTTTTATACTTTTCCTCTTTTTTCATTTTGTGTATGGTCGGGTTTTTTTGTTTTTGTTTTTCCTTTATTTTGCCAATGTATGATTTAGTTACTATTAATGCGTGAATTTTCTCTATTTCCAGAATGACAATATAAAACTAGAATTTTTTGATTGAATTTTCCTGCTAATGGCAGCGCTAGACAGAACGCAACGAAAATAGCCTTAAATAGAATTGGGCGAAGTCGCCGTATCCTGTTTTTAAGGATTGTTTTTGACGACCAACTCTCCCAAAGAATACACGCCTAGCGATTCGCCAGTCAYGGGAAAACTGCATTCAAAAGACGAACAATAGCCAACACAAAAAATCAAATACTCGCTATAATTTMCTTGCTTTCCTAGAAGAAAGAAAGGGCTATTTTCCTTGTTGAAGTTTGCTTCTATTGTGCGCGAAGATACGAATGRRAGGCAAAAAAGGAAATGACGGYGATACYAAGAATGTYAACTATGAACAAATGACGTAATCACAACACGGAAGCGAGGCTATATATTCGTGTGTCCGCCATTTTGTTTCACAGCAAAAGTCCTTTGATATTTATAAAGTAGTTGGTCATTTAGTGGCGAAACTTTGGTTTGGATGCGAAAATGAGCTTCCTCTTGTAAGTATAACACTACATTTATCTCAATRATTGCTTTTGAATTGACTTGACGAACATTTGTGCAAATATAAGCCAAGTTCGAATTCCTCGTTGCAGACAATTTCGACATTGCAAAGGATATTTTCTATTTATKCTTTAAATTTCTCCTTCTCTTTGAGCCTTAATGTTACCAACTGCTTTTCTATGAACTACGCATATTTTAAGCTAAGTATTTAGCTGTTTTTGTTTTTAGTGGAAGCCGCTCAACAAAGACTTTCAARCCGAAGAAGAACATACCGGAGGGAACACATCAATATGACTTGATGCGACACGCTGCTGCAACGCTCGGAAGTGGAAACCTTCGCCTGGCTGTTATGCTACCAGAAGGAGAAGACCTAAATGAATGGGTTGCAGTTAATAGTATGTATTTCGACGCTATTTATAGCTATATCAATGAATTCTCCATATCAAACGTTCTAGAACATATGATCAACTTTAGATTTCATATGTTGAATGTAGTCACTTTGTTTATTGTTTCCTTACGAAAGTAAGTTTCTATAATATTAATTAACAAATAAGGAAATTTAACTATTAAGATATATGTACATTTCTCTAAAGTGTGTGTACATACTTTTTGATTGAAAGTTGTGATTTCACAATTCTTTTGTTCATCAAATCCCATTAGTGTATGTATGCGTTTAGGAATTTTACGTAATACAACTWGCTATTTTTGTGATTTAAATTCTAGAATTCTCCTCGCTAATCTCTTTAATGTGTCAGTTAAGCTATGGTTATTATGATCCAAATTTTTAACAAATTACACTTCACATTACTAACATTAGCTGTTCTAGAATACATGATCATATTTCTATTGTTTACCAAAAAACTGATGACATTCTAGAACACATGATCATGTGATTTAAATGCCCCTTTCCACATTCAGTTCTTCGATTGAGTGTTATCCATATAATTTGTAATTTGTATCTGTCAATTTAAGTATCTGCTAGGAAAGTCTTCTAGACATTCTTTTCTATATATTTTTTCACTGATTATTTTGTATCTTGTTTTTCAGCTGTGGATTTTTTTAACCAGATCAATATGTTGTATGGTACAATAACAGAGTTTTGTACTGTTGAAAGTTGTCCTGTTATGTCTGCAGGACCAAAGTAAGTTTATTCAATTATTTTCAACTAGAAAGAAAGGGATCCAATGAAATCATGAATGTTATTATAGTTAACATTCAACGCTGTGACAAGACTTTGACAAAAAATAAATAAAAACATTCTCTTTTGCACTGAGCATACTAGGAGAAAACATAAAAAAAATTGATTTTTAAGTAAGGGATTTTGTGTTTATTGTGAATATTGCTACCTTTATTAATAATACTTGTAGTAACAGGAGTGTCGAGGGGATTAATAAAGTGCTATGTTGTGGTCGAGATATGAACAATATTGCATGGTACCTCTTTGTTGATTTTGATGGACTTAATCTGTGGAACAAATAATAGCAATTACATCTAAAAAAGAAATGAGAATAATTTAGTGCCTTTTAAAAAAGGCCCTGTTACAGGGGCAATGTTTTCTTGCGATTTTTGACAGTAAAAATTGTTGCAAGTTGTTTATAACACCGAGTCACAAATATTTTCACTTATTGACTCAAAAACTGCAGCGTAAAGTGAGTTGATTGGTATGAAGAATTAACGCATTTGTTCTTATGTAGATATGAATATCATTGGGCAGATGGACAGACGATAAAGAAACCCATTAAGTGCTCAGCRCCTAAGTATATTGACTACCTWATGACATGGGTACAGGACCAGTTGGATGATGAAACTCTATTCCCTTCAAAAATAGGTACTTATGTTGCTGTTCCCTAGGTCTCCAAGCAACTGTGTTTAGCTTCAGTCATGTGTAACGCTAAACTCAACACAACTGTGTGGAGACCACTGTTCCCTGTRCCATTTTGAAAAGTAACTGTGTCTTTGCATTAAAGGGAGTTAATTGRGRAGCATSCAATGATAGACACYCAGGRTTCTCRGTAAAAATAAAAGTAGACGTCAAAATATGAAAAGYACYYGTCAAAATAGGAAAAGTACAGCCAAATAATTTGCRAATATATTCGTAAGTAGCCGGCRATTAACTAAGCTATAACTGGTRATTTTTGYCRGCTGCCCGCTTCTACTGAGAACCCTGGACACCTATGAATAATTGTTTATGATTTTGAGTAAAGGTTTCTATCATTGCATGCTCACTGGTCGTTTAGTTTTGATGCAAAGATGTGGATCTCTTTCAAGATGGTGCAGGCAACTGTGGACACTATTGKTTTGACTCTTTTAGTATAGTWTTCCTAARTGCTTAATTCTGTGTCAGAGTATAAGAGTAAATTGTAGCTAATGATGTTACTTTGTTTCTCCTCTAGGTGTACCATTTCCAAAGAACTTCCTAACAATCGCCAAAACAATCCTGAAGCGTCTTTTCAGGGTTTACGCTCACATTTATCACCAGCATTTCAAAGATGTCGTAAGTCTTGGAGAAGAAGCCCACCTTAACACATCATTCAAGCATTTTATTTTCTTTGTTCAAGAATTTAGTTTAATTGACAAGCGAGAGCTGGCGCCATTACAAGAGCTTATAGACAGACTTGCTAACAAAGACAAGGACAGACTTTAAAGTGCTCAAGTGTTCAGTGAGTTTTTCATTTGACCGTCTGAATTGTCTGCCATCTTGAGTGATCATCAAATCCGCCATTTTGTAAATCAAGCTGAATCCAAAATGTCCGATACAAAAAAAATTCTCCAATTCTCTTCAATTTTCACATGGTTTTATGTGATTTTACAGTTGGTTTCAAGGGAAAACAATCAGCTTTTTGTGATTTACTTTATCCCAGCCATGAGGTCTCATTTTGTATTCTTGAGACTGGGAGTTGTTCCCTTTGGTAATGGTTCTGAAGGAGACTAGACTGGAAGATTATCTTGGCTTATCCAGAAAAGTAGATAGGSCTTSTTTTGTTCAGTGTATTTTTGTTTTGTTTTGTATTGTTTTTTGCTATTGTTGATTTTGTTGTTTGGGATTKGGAGGRATAGGGGAGGGTAAARGGGGAAAGTMCAYYTAGAGGAGTCCTTAGGGGGTAAGGGTAGGGACTAAAATGGTTATTGTTTAAATATTTTTCATAGTAATTAAAGCAACAAATTTCCCTTCAAAGATATTACATGTAATTGAATGTACAAAAAATGAGTTTTTCAATCTATAAATTTGGAAAAAAAGTGTAATAGTCATTATAAAAGACAGTCATTTTAAAAACTTACTCATGAATAGTTACATGTACATTMATTGTTTTCCTATATGGAAAGATATATTCTCCTTACCGATTAGAGTCAACTATGTCATAATTGGTTTTGAGAATTTAGATTTCCATCCTATCACTGTTGTATATATTGTAGAACAAGATTCATGTGTGCCATGGCCGCATGCTGTTTATGATTAACTGTTGATGTTTATATTAGGTTTTCCTGTACTACTGTTCTCATTCCTACTTATTGGTCCCCCTGTGTGAGATAGAGGAATGGGGAGAGGTACCCTCGACATTTAGTTCCCAGTGTGCAGTCTGACAACTTAGCACAGGGATCCCAAATATAAACTTTGYGGTGATCTCTATGAAAAGTTGTCCTGAAGTTGATACTGATAACTTAGTTTGATTAAGAGGTTGATCATGATTATCATATAAGCTCTTATTGTGAGTGGACAGAGCGTAGCTTTCATTCATCCCTGTGCTTCAGTATTTTTTGTGTACAGAAACAACTGCGAACATGTAAGCATGACGACACAATTCCAGCTAAATATATTGTTGTTTTTAGAATTTAAGTGAGCAAACAGTTCATGTACTTTTTGAAGCTTTCTCTGTCCTATCACTTAAGACACATTGAATTTTTTTCAATATCTCAAAGCAACATAATTATACACATTTYCAAAGAATTTGAAACCTCCAAATCATGATCAGCAAACGTGAACTTTGGGATACTGAAATTTCACCATAAAAGCATAAAATATTTTATAAAAAACTTTTCTAGAAATTAATGATAATCACAAATTAATAAATTGTAATTTTTTTCCCTTTTTTAAGTTACTTTAAATGCTCAAATTTATTGTGAATACATCTATATAAATATCTTCATTTAGTATATGTGATTTATTGTTTTGGAGTTTGTAATGTTCTTAAAAAGGCCTGCATTCAAAGTAAGTGTGATTAGTTCGTGCAAGAGCTCAGCCAAGTTAGGAGTGCAAGCCTTTCATAAAGTTTTATTCATCCTAGAGGGGGGGGCACAGTACTGAGAGGGTCACCGTGATTGCAACTTGTAATATAAGGAACTGAGCATACTCTTCGGAGAGCATTGAATGTGATTTTGCCCAAGTCGAAGGATTCCTTGCACTTTGAACTATTTCAAAGTACTCTCCCCCAGTAAAATTCCGGGGTCAAGGTACAGAACATGGTACAAATTGAGGTACAAGGTTGAATACTTACCTCAGGAATAATTTTTGAGCTTAGGGATGGCTTATATTTCCATTCAACTCCTCCTTGTGTTATATTTTTGCTCCTAAGTTTTATAGTTTCAACTGACYCTCTGGACAAAGGAAAAAAGGGCCAAATCCATAAATAAAAATTGTGTCCAAATAACTTATATTTGAAATGTACTAAAATCTTCAAATACGTTATTAAGTTTTGATCTGTATATGAAAAATTAATGGCAAAAATGTTCTCTAAACTAGGAAAAAACAGTTGTAATCATGGTATGCTATTTGGAGGAGGGAACATCAGTCCTGTGATGACTTTGAGAAAGTCTAGTGTAATCTATAATGTAACTCTATATTTAGAACTGACCTTTCATGTTGAACACTGATRAATAGAATATCAGTGTTGTATGGTAGAAATAAGACTTTAATCAAATACACGGATAAAGACAACATTCCAGGGCATTGGATTTTCCAAGGTTTTTTTAAAACTGTGCTTGACAACATATTTTCCAATGAAAAAGTTCAAAACATGTAGAGATTCAAGAAAATTCTCTGAGTATTCCTATTTTCAACAACTCTTTTTAAATCAATTATTCTCCAGAGTTCAAGTATTTCCAGGAATAACACAAGCCCTGTCAGCGAGAAATGATGGTTCAAACAAAGTAACTTTCCAATCATCGTTAATGTAGCCTRCATGCAGCTGAACATAACTTACAACACTTTTGGTTTGCCTGGCCACACTGGCTACATTAATGAAAAAAAAAAACACAAATAAGTTCTACAAATAGCTTTTAATTCTATTCAGAGCAACTTTACAGCAACTACYAACTAATGTCACACATTTATTGATTACAGATGTTTCATTAATTTACATAAAAACGTCACTATTGAGAAATATGAAAACTAGAGTTTGGTAGTCTAATACATTTTTTTGTATATAAAAGTACCAAAACTATGTTGTTGATAAGTGAAAATGTTAATAATTTTTGWGAATTTTGATTACAGAATCATTGTGAAACTTTCATATCTATATATTGACCAACCTCAACTTTAACTTACTAACAACTAATACAACGCAGTATTTATTATKATGATGTTTATATTAGTACATGATGAACRGCCAGACTTGYAGTACAAACTCCAGACATTGAAAAASTTAAATATGTAAATATAATATTTGATGAAGGAACAAACTCACGAAAAGCCTAAGCCCTTATCTGGAAATTTCCACTATCTTCCATTGACTATACAACAAGCCATACRCTAGAATAACCTGCATGCAAGCTGAACACAGGCCAACAACAGTACAATGGTCTGAAAATCAAACTTTGTAAAACTTTGGAACTTTGTATTGTTACTTCTTGCACAAAGAGTTCTTCTTGTCCTTTTAAAATTCATTTCAATTGAGTTCATATTCGTTTGAGAAAAATTGGAAATAGTCTTTAGTTAAGAGCTTAATTCCTTGGGCACTTCCCACGTGAAACCAGACTTGAAATGACCATAGACACAAGATCTTTGGTAGACTGGTTTTTTCAAATCAAGGTCCCTGTTAAAATGCAATGATACAGGTTTTAGGAATATATTACTAAAGTGCACTGTGTGAAAGTGTTTTTTTGGTAATAAGATAAATTTTATCACCATAAAAAGTAGGTGAAATAATGATAGCTGAAGTTATATTTCAGCTATTTTATACGGTGTTAAAGTTTATCCTATTCCACAACTGTTTCTTTAGAAACATCAACGCAGCTACTAGTTTGCCTCTAGTTTACATTATCAGAGTGGGAATAAGTGTTGAGATGTAACAAAGTAGCCAATACTTACTTGACAATTCTTCCTGGTCGTAAATCGAAGTTTTCCCKGACAATCTGTAAGAGTTCATCTTCAGACTTTGTGCTTGTTCCATAGGAGAACACAGTTACAGACAAGGGCTGAGCAATACCAATAGCATAGGAGATTTGAACTAAAACACGTCTGCATAGCTTTGCTGCTACAAGAGACTTTGCAATCCATCTGGCAGCATATGCTGCTGATCTATCAACCTAAAATAGACAAAAAACAAAATTCTATTACTTTTATAGAAAAGTTTTTCTTTTGTACGTATAACAGTTTGATGGATAGATGTTTATATTTTACGAATTATGAAAACAATACCTTTGTATAGTCTTTACCAGAGAAGGCACCTCCACCATGAGCTCCCCAGCCACCATARGTATCGACAATGATCTTTCTTCCTGTCAAACCAGCATCACCTTGTGGTCCACCAATAACAAACAGCCCTGATGGTTGCAAGTGAAAGACGGTTTCTTCATCTAGGTACTTAGCTGGTACAACAGTCTGTCAAGAGAATGCACCAAGAACAATATATAAAATGTACTGTTAGGGAAAGCATTCAGTGATTAATATTTTTTTCAAGAGATACAAGATCACTACCTTGACAATCTTCTCCATTAATTCCTTTCTAAGTTTCTCTACTGTGATAGACGGATCATGCTGTACAGAGATGACGATGGTRTGAACACGAAGAGGAATAGCTGAACCATTCTCAAATTTATACTCCACTGTGACTTGTGTCTTTGAATCTGGCCGCACCCAGGGCATGGTGCCATCTCGYCGGCAATCTGCTAGTTTTCTATTCATACCRTGYGCTAATACTACTGTTAAAGGCATAAGTTCTTCAGTTTCRTCAGTAGCATAACCAAACATAAGACCTTGATCACCAGCACCTACGTCATCTTCATGTCGTCCTAGATGTACACCTTGAGCAATGTCGGCACTTTGTTGTTCAAGTGCTACAAGTACGTTGCATGTTTTATAATCAAAACCTAAAAAGAAAAAAAATGGAAGTCATCCTTGAGCAGCATAGTAAACTAGATCTACACTCAGCAGTTTTGGCTACATTCTTATTTTTTTCTAATATTTTTTTTCATTTCACTCTAAAATTCTTCTTTTTATTCATTTTAAGGATCGGTAGAACAATTTGAAACGAAGAGAGTTTTTTTTTTTTTTTTACATAGAGTTTTTTCATTATGAAGCTACCCAGCAACATAACTATCTTAAATTGAAACGAATGATTACATTAATGAAACAAGGTTAAGTATTTTTTATGAAATTATCTTGTACCTTTGCTAGAGTCATCATAGCCAATATCTTTAATGCAGTCACGTACTACTTGTTGGTAGTCGATTTGTGCATTTGAYGTGATCTCCCCACAGAGCAATATCATACCAGTCTTGGCAACAGTCTCTGCAAAGACGACGTTAAAATTAATGCATGCATAAATGTACTATATGACGGTATCCATGAAACTAAAAGCCTTTTYATTATACATGTATCTGTGAAACACTTTATATCAAAGCCCTTTTCCTAAATAAGGAAACTTGACATAGGATGAAATGATTCCTGGAATACTGAACTACATGCTTCTCATCAAAGCTCTTTAAAAGCTAGCAAGCTTTAATTAAATTTTATAGAGACATTAATTTTTCAAGTACGCTTATTTTATAGAGAATAAGCATATTTGACATATTCATATCTTAACATATGTTTGTTGGAAGTATGCCTATACCACAAGACATCCATGCTATCTGATCTCTTATGGCTTTTTGAAAGATTTTACAGAGCTTGAAAGTGCAGCCTTGGGGGCCATTTTGTCAAGGTTGAAAAAAATTAGTTTGGCACCCATTTTGGAAAAAGGTCATTGCACAGAAATAGGGGGCAAACAAGAATTTTGTACTATTAATGGATGCACTCTAACAATGCAAATAACAATGGCAGCTTATCTATTTTGTAGAATTTTGTTGGCCAATTTAWTCAAAAATATAATGAATGCACACTTTTAGTGAAACAACAATAGAAACTTATCTAGCTGTCTTTGACTGACTATACTCATGCAAATACTTTAATCCACTTAAAATTCAGCATTTGCTTCAAAGATTAGAATGCTAGGTGGACTTGGGAAATAGGGCTACTGCCCCTGGCCACAATTGAGAAATTTTAATCTTATTGCAAGGCTGCAGGGCTCCCAAATTATTATTCAAGTATGCATAAAACTAATAAGCCAAGACACTGTGCCAAATACAAATCATGAAACCATGGCAAACATTCATATTTAAATTATTTTTGGTTTTATATAAATGTTAATTTATAAAAATGCTAAAATATTTTTAACTGCAGCTACTCTCAAGCTTCTGGTAGCCACCACTATGATAAAAATACTTTCACAATTTGTCCTTTTTTGTACAGAGGAGAAAGGGTTATATTCTAATTTCCATGTACAGTATTGTCTTAAAAAGAATTTTTCTTGACATTTTCAAGAGAATTGAAATGCAATGCACACAATGGCTTAGTTTGAGTCTAATTCACCATTAAAAAAACTTTATTTTCTATATGGTAAAAAAACGACAAAAATTAAATCCATGCTTATAAGTAGCATTCCAGGTTATTTCAATGTTGGATATTCCATTTGGCTAAAAAAGAAGTAAATAAATAAAATATTTAATAAAAGGTGTTAAAGTATTGCATCATTTATATAAGGTGTGACAGCCTGTCACGTACAGTTTCCTCGCCAATCATAAAATTTAATGTACAAAAATTAATTTATAAGGAAAATAGAATAAATTATTTATTTAACTGTGCAGGAAGACTGGAATAACATTCTTTCAAAGCCTTAAAGGATCTTGTTGCAAAGCATGATTCGTTGTCTAGTAGTTTTCCCAACACAATGGGATTTTGCAATATCGGCCTCAATGTCTCATGTGACGATGGGGTCATACAGTAGTAATTTTCCTAACACAAAMTGTAATGCCAACCCGCAGCTATCGACGTAACGAAAAAAGTTGTACACGAAGGAATGCAAACAAAGCAAAACAAGTCTTTAGTTCTCTAAAACAGGGCACACTTCGAGAGTGACCTGACAAACGAGTGTAAAACCGGTTGGTGTGTTGATATATCGTACTCACTACGCAAAACAAAATACACGATTTTTTTTCCCGCAAAATATACTGTATCAATATTCATACCAAGATATAAATATTTTAAAGGTTGATAAGGATTTACTAATAAATGCAAAACAATTCCCAGGGCAAAATGACTCTGTAAATAGAGAAAACTTGTACATGTAGCATGCAAACATCATCCACAAAGCTACACCTAGAGTAAAATAGCAGGATGATTTCAACCTACCACAAGCGACTTTGGCGTTGGGATCCTCCTTTAAATGTGCGTCCAAAATCGCATCCGATATCTGATCGCACATCTTATCTATAAGCAAAAGAAAAAGAATTTTAAGTCGAGCTGTTGTCAATTTTGAAAGATATTTACAGAGACAAAAAAAGCGAGCGACACGTGCAATTGACAATAATCGGCTTCAGTTTTGACAAAATTACCTGGATGTCCTTCACCAACGGACTCCGAGGTGAATAAAAAAGTGTTGTTCTGTGTATCAGGATTTTCCATTTTGAATTTCTTCTCTGGAGGYTGACCGTTCAAGGCAAATGGATCGTTGTTAGAGTGGATATGACTCATGATTTTTGAGGCAGCTAATAAATCGACCGAGCGAGTACACCCGAGCGTCAAATAAATGCCTGGAACTAGCGCTGTGATTGGTCACAGCTATCAGTCACGAAGCTCATATTTCAATGGCTCCAAACGAGTTATTTTCCCGTACAACAAGTAAATTGGATTTAAGTTAACAATCTCTAAGGTGTCAAGTTGAATAATCACGAGTTTTGAATCTTCTAGAAACCATCTAACTTTGAATTGAAGCGAGTTTTTTTCAGAATTTGAAAGGTCCAAAGTTCAATTTTTTCCCCCAAACACGTGAACCAGASTCTGTACACGAATCAAATGGGGGAGTGAGTTGGGCGGGTCCGTGCCAAATTTGGCATATCGTGGCAACGTCTAGTAAATTTACTGTGGACTCCGGGTGTATTTCACAATGTTTGACAAAAATTCCGATTTTGCATGATCCATCGTGAAATAAACAGTTTTAAGCTTCCTTTGTAAAGGTTTCAAGTTGCAAAGTTAGGCATTTTTCAAGGGCTTAGATTTCTGCATTTCCTTGACAAAAATGTCACCTTGAAAAAATGCCCTAAAATTATGTAAAACTGTCCAGACAATTGATGTCCTGTGTTTGTATAACATCCGGTTGACGTGACAGCCAAACATGTGCAGTTTTACAAACCTGGACTAGAAAGTTCGAATATCCATGCAGAAGGCATGTCAGGTCGTTGCGTGCACTTCTTATTTATTTATTTATTTTATTTCATTTTTCATCTATTATTTAAATACAAGATGATTATCTACTTGAAGTCACAGCATTTGGCATAGCCTGTGTGACCGGCTATGTTCACCAGGTTTCGGTGATATCCTGGGGATTAACAATACCTAAAAACGTGCTTTCAAGCCTGGAAAAGTGTTAAAACACGTGTGACGTCATATCGCAAGAGAGTCAGCAATCGCTCTTTGCGTTGTGCATTCTCTATTCAAACTATTGCCACTTTATAATTTTTTAAATGGATTTTATTAAAATTTCGAGGAACGCAAAATTGAAAACTTGTGTGACTTGTTTTGTCTTGAACTTCTCCACGTGCAATCCTGAGGTGCACTCTGGGAAGCGAGAGCAAAGGTTCGTTCGAGACGACAGAGCTTGGACCGCAAAGAAGTTTTTATATCCCATTTATAATTAGTTTTTTTGCAAAATGAATACTCCAGATACTTCAAACAACTCATTTTTATTCACGTCGGAGTCTGTAGGCGAAGGGCATCCAGGTATTGTGAAAATAACGACTCAAATTTAGAAGTCAAAAGTTGTATCGTGTGCTCATGCACGCGATTTGAATATTTTCTTCATTTTGATGGAATAACATTTTATTGTTTGTACTGCTGTATAGATAAAATGTGTGACCAGATATCCGATGCTATTTTGGACGCTCATCTGAAGCAAGATCCAAATGCAAAAGTTGCTTGTGGTAATTTAATTAAACCAATTTTTTAGTTAACTTAACTTAGGATGCCTGGGCAAAAGCTTAGTAGCCTAGTGCAGTAGTTTGAGCTCAAAATATTTTGTTTCATCTTTGTGAAATAAACGAGTTTAAAAAATTGTCTTTTCGACTAACATTGCTATCAATACAAGGTCAGTAAGGTCAGTAAAAGTACAGTGTTTGAAGAATACTGTGGCAACCTTACACATTTCACCTTGAATATAATGCATTCATATGACCTGTCTGCACGCAATGATTGACAGCAAATTGAACAGTTATCAATATGATGAAATCTCCATCTCCATTATTCCTAACACAGTTATCAGTATGCATGGTTACCACACAGAATAGCTCAGGAACTGTGAAGATAACATGTAAAATTACTGTTAAATAGTTGAAATTTTATTATCAAAACTTTTCTGACTTTGATCAGTAAGCATCTCCATGAACACAAGGTTCAAGAGCTTGTATTCACTTAATCCCTGTCAGAGTTCCCTGCTAGCRGRGTCTCTCTCAGTTTTGACAAGTAATTGATAACTTGTCGAGAACTGCAACAAGAGAGACTCTTCTAGAATGGAACTGTCAGGGTTTGTTACAAAGCAAAATTAGCCCATCTCACTTCCATACCTGGTTTTCTGTACCTTGATTGGTCCCTTAAAATAAAAGATATTTGATTGGCCGAATTGAAGATCAGCTGTCATCATATATAACAGTGCTTTGCACTCAACTTTATAGGAACCTTATATTGACAACTCATCAGGGAAAGAACACCAGCAAAGTTTGTTTGGTTTACATTTCTGCTAGGTCATAAAAATGCTTAGCAATAGTTTAGTCTGTGAATGTTGTATTTTGGCTTTGCTAAATCTATCTTGTTGACAGCTCACCTCGGCTTAGCCAAATCAAATGGCTTTTATTTTCACTGCAGACCAATCAGGTGTAAGTTGCACATATGCAGTGAACTCAAAATCCATCATGGAAGCAAGAGACACCATCAAAGTCATCATTCAAGCCTTAAAACAGCACTTCATGCTGTAAATAAACTTAAAGCATCCAAAATTTACCAAATAAGTACTAAGCACTTAGCTTGAGCTTCCGTAAAATAAATCACATAAAATAATGACTTCAAAATAGCTTCCATTACTAAAAATTCATGTGATTGATATTTGTAGAGAGCGTTGCTAAAACTGGAATGATCTGTGTCTGCGGTGAAATCACATCAAAAGCATATGTAGACTATCAGAGGATAGTACGAGACACTATCAAACAGATAGGCTATGATGACTCCAGTAAAGGTATAACTCCAAGATGAACTACTTTTATAGACATCTACATGGAGATAGATCCTTTAATATTGCTTAATAGCAGTACTTTAGAACTGAATTGCTATAGTCTGAATACAACAAGTAATATTACAGACATATGCCTAATACAAATAAAATCTTTTGGTATCTATGTTAATGATTGAATAAAACCATTTATTCAATTCAGATGATAAAGTGGAAAAAAAAAATATTTCAGAACAAAAATAGGTGGCTACTAGTGGTAAACTAGTGTGAGCTGCGTCGGTGTTTTTAAAGAAACAGTTGTGTAAAAAGATAAATTTCACACCGTAAAAAAGTATGTGAAACAACTTACTGATGTTCCGGATTTTAATCCTTTGAAGCGTCAGTAAGTTGTTTCACCTTCTTTTTACCATGATTTATTAAAACAACTTATCTTTATCTTAGGTTTTGATTACAAAACATGCACCGTCCTACAAGCAATTGAACAACAGAGTCCAGACATTGCCCAAGGTGTCCACATAGGAAGAGATGATGAAAATGTTGGCGCCGGCGACCAGGGATTAATGTTTGGATATGCTACAGATGAAAC